CACCACAGTACAAACAATTCGGTTGTGAGACCAAAAAACTTGGCTCTGATGATATCGACGTAAGTCTCATTTTTACTCATTTTCTACACATATCTGACCAGGATGATATGCAGCAGATTTAAGTATTTAACCCCATTATTTATTAACTAAACATTCATCTCTCACTGCTCTAGTACGTTTTTTTTTTTATTTTAAATCGATTAAGAGCCTCAATTCTGTAGTCTTTTCTTGACGAATTGCTTTCCATTAGTTGAAATTTGGAACCCCAAGTGAAACTATCAATTTAATCGTAAATGACCACCATAAGAGAATGTAAAATCTATCTGACACAACAAAACAGAAAGACAAATAATATTTACGGCCCCAAGTATTGAACAATATAGTGGAAATTATTATCTGTATGTTATAGGACATAAGGAAATCTAAAAGAGCACGCTAAAGAAAACCTAATATTTGCCCAAGGAAAGTAATTATTTAATGAGTATAAATGAAATTTCTCCGTCCTGTATTATCTGTAACTAAAGAACAATAATAAAGGGGAAATAGAAAAAGGACTAACCTGTACACACAAGAAGGCTGAAAGTAGTGATCAAAATGAAGTAGACTGAAAGTGAAGAAAAATAAAAGGGCAATCTAAAAGAGCACGCTGATATTTTGACACAAGGAAATATAATTATTTTTTCAGTGTAAATTAAATATATCCGTGCATCTCTACAAAAAAATAGTAATAAAGAGAAAGCAGAAAAAAGGCCTAACCTGTACACACAAGAAGGCTGAAAGCCCATCAGAAGGAAGCAAACTGAAAGTGAGGTAAACAAAAGAGCATCCTAAAAAATAAATGGAATAGATGAAAAGCATTGGGCCTTTTAAAAAGAAAAAACGGCCCAAAGCACATCCTAAAATTGAGTCGCAGGCTTAAACCAAAAAAAAAAATTAAGCAATAGGAAACGCAGCAGACTTTGCCACGTGTCGGAAGCATACCACCACAAACTCGTGGTGAGGGATGAAAAAGAGTTGGATTGTATTTGATTTATAGATTGTACCCTAACAAACCCAACTTTAATTTCATTGCTTCATAAATCGTGTTCTAATCCTAGCGACATCAGACTTTGTCGAACCACGATTGAATAATGTTCTATCCAAATGCCGTCGTCAGCAAATCTTTTCTTGGTGGTGATTTTTTGCCTGAGGACCAAATAAAAAAGAAAGAAAAAAAAAAAATAGTTGAAAAATAGAGCTCACCACCTGTTTGATGAAATGTCGCAGTGTCTGAGATTGCGGCCTCCATGGGCCCACCGTTTCAAGGAGCTTTCCCGTCTTCAATGCGCGAAACCCAGAAAGGCCTGCCAGCTCACCGTACGCAGTTGCTCCTCAGTTCCTCAAAATACTCGCAAGGTATATTGTCTTCCTCTTGCCTTTTGTGTAATTTTTGTTTTGATTTATTGTTGACAGGTGATTTATGTTGTTTGTATTAGTGTCATGTTTTTGTTTGGTGGGATTATTTATTTATTTATTGTTTTTTGGCCTTCAATTGTCTTTTTGATCATTTGCTGAGGAGTTCTTGGGGTACATCACAGAAAATTGTGGAAATTGAATTTGTTCAATTTTCAACTCTTTTATCCATTTGAAGAGAAGGGCTCAGTAAAAGTCACATACTTTTCGCATTTTGTAATGTTCTTTTTCGAGCTATGATCTTGCTAAAGTTAGAATTATATAAGTTGGAATCATAATGATTCGATTACAGTTTGATGAAATCAAATGGTTGATGAGCTTTTTCATGGTGCAGTTAGTGGCAGAGGTTAAAGAAAAGCTCGAAAAAGAACATAAAAATCTCCCAGTTGGGAAGTACGGAAGAGATGACGAGGAGATGATCCTTTGGTTTTTGAAGGATCGAAGATTTTCAATTGACGAGGCTGTCTCAAAATTGACCAAAGCCATTGTAACAATTATAATAACTTTTCATAGCATTTTTGTTTTTCATTTCTTATTTTCATTTCCTTTTTTTTTTTTATTTGCTTTTACTTCCCCTAGAAAATTATATTGAAAACAAAATTAAAGAAAAATATGTTTCTTGATTTGCATTCAATATGGGTTTTTATCTTCTACTTCAACAGAGATGGCGAAAGGAATTTGGCGTATCGGGTTTATCAGAAGAATCAGTGTATCGCTCGGCAAAAACTGGTAAAGCTTATCTGCACGAGTGCTTGGATGTAAAAGATAGACCTGTTATAATAGTGGATGCATCAAAGCATTTTCCTGGGGTATGTTATTCGAATTGCTTATGTCTTTATTGACATATCAGTAAAGTTATGTACAAAATGCTTTATTGAGAAAATGAACATTAAATGAACCCTCTGAAGTTCGTAAATTGGAATCATATGTGAAAATTGTACCATTTGCTCGAAAAAAAAAACAAAAAAATAAAAGTATGATACACTGACAAATCAAGATCTTCATCAACACAGGAGCAGGAACCTTCTGAAGATGAGAAGCTATGCGTGTTTTTGATCGAGAAGGCACTTGCCAAGCTCCCACATGGAAAGCAAGAAATACTTATTGTTATTGATCTACGGAAGTTCCAGACACAGAATGCCGATATTAAGTTCGTAACTTTTGTGGTAATCTCCAAAATCTGTGCATATTAAGCGAAAAGCAGCCTTTCAATGATTTTTGGTTTGACATCAAGATTGAGAAGAAATTGAATACAAATATATGCGAAATTTATTCGAAAAAGGTTTAATTTTTAATTTTTATGCTTTCTCTCGGTTTTATGTGCAAGTTTGATGCATTCTACTGCTACTATCCGAGGAGATTGGGTCAAGTTCTGTTCGTGGATGCCCCGTTTATATTCAAGCCCATTTGGGGGCTTGTTAAGCCCCTGGTAAAATCGTATGCCTCTTTGGTAAGTATTTTTATATCATAACAATAAACATTTTATTTTCAAAATGCCATCCAATTCATAATGCTCGTATTCGTGTTTATAAAATCAGTGCAACTATAAATGATTGCGAACAAATGATAGTCAAGACTTTTTTTCCTTCATCTTTTCAATATTTTCGACATGCTGTGAATTTTTGCAGGTGAGATTTTGCACGGCAAAGGATGTAAAAGAAGAGTATTTCACGGCAAATACTGTCCCGGCTAGCTTCCGAGAATGAAATGGAAGGTTCAACTTGAGTTAGATCAAGCTATTAAATTCTCCCTTGGACACATTCTTTAGTTTGAATAAAATGAAAAGCTTTCTACTGTCATAAAGAAATCAGAAGACAGAAAATGGAAAGCGTCATGGGTGTAAATGTAAATCATCCAAATCTGAAGGACTGTTGTAATATTTTATCGTGGAACTAACATACATTGGGGACCTTGTGAGGTACAATTTTAAAAAAAATTATATATAGAATCTAACATATTGTTAGTGGATTTAACGGGTCAAATTCTATTGATTAGTCGATCGGTCGTATTTGTAAGAACTTTTGCTGCGGATGTAATTATATATAATAAACTAAAACGTAATTTTTTGCCCACCAAATAAAAAAAAGTTACTCGTTAATCACATTTTTCCACCTAAAATTTGTTAGCATTCTTTAATTAAAAATTAATTATTGCCACACATCTCTTTTATATAATTTACTGTTGATCTACTCGTGTTTTTTAACTATAAATTATTTTTTTAAAACATTTTTATATTATATCAATTTAACTATTACATTTCAATCTCAAATTACAAATTTTAAAAAAAAAATCATCTCATCTCACTAATAAAATAAAAAAATATTTAAACATATATGCAACCCATACCTTATAAAAAACAATTAAATAATTTTACAATTTATTGGGAAATATATTTTTTAGTTATTTGGTTATCTTCCTTATTCACTAGGAGATGGACATCACACCATGTAGTTGGTCTGTGTGTTAAAACGGTACAATATTCGGCTAACATACTTTTTTCATAAAATCTACATACTTTTCAATAGAATTAGAAAATATTATATATTAAAATATAACATAAAAAATTAAGAAAATTGATAGCATATATATTTTTTATTTATATAATATGACGAATATTATTATTCAAATCGGCTCGACTAATAATNAAAAGTCATCCGTGGACACAGAAGAATATATGACATATAAAACAAGGAAAAAAACTCACCTATTTTCTCCGGTTATCTCCATTCTCAACAAAAGTCGCATTAATAAAACTTCGTGTTTATCATGCTTTCACCTTTCTAGTTTTTACAGCCTCGTCGCATTTCCAATCCGCCGACTCCATCGTCTTCATCTTTCTTGCATAATCGTTTGCCCCCAAGAAAATGGGGATTCAAAGGATTTCTGTTTTGGCAATAACCTTATCCTTCATCGTTTGGGTGGTTTTGATTTTGGAAAAAATCGAGTGCAGAGATTTAGAATCGCCGCAGTACACAGTGGTGCACTCAGAATCTGATTTTGAGATTAGGTTTTACAGAGAAACCGTTTGGATGTCTGCGCCTTCCGATGAGATTTCGTTTGAGAAAGCTACAAAAGACGGATTCCACAGGTGAGCTATCGTGTTTGTGTGTGTGTTTTTTTGAAATAATAATTGTTCATTTTTATATAGATATATCAGTTTTTTTTGTTTGTTGGTTTGCTGCTGTTTTTTGATTGTTTATGGGATGATTGATAAAGGGAATGAGATCGTAGTTAGCTTTGATGTTATGTGGTTCTTGGGCTTGTAGAAAGTTATCTACTTTCTAGTTGTAGTGTAGGTTCTTTGGTGATTTTTGTTTTTCTTTTTTTTGTTTGTTTATATGTTTGGTGAAATTTTTTTTGAATCTTTGACTGGTTCGATTTTCTTTCATGAAGAGATACTGTAAATTACACTAGAAATCACATTACATGCTGTAGACACTGGTCACTTTAGTTCTGAATATTTGTGTAGATCATAAAGGTATTACATCCCAAGAGAACTAATTGGCAGGACAGAATTGGAGTAGAGCAGCAAATTGCTAAGCGATTGTTTCGAAAAACTTCTGCCTTTTCTTTTCCAGTAGCGATTTAGTATATAATTTGTAACAGAAGCAAAGCTAGTTTGGATTCACATGTTGGCCATACATTTGAACATATGCTTAAAGTTGAAACAAGTCGTACAAACGTGTTTTGGTCCATAAGTTGTAAGCACAAACCCATGATCAAAAGTTTGCGAACTTCAAAAGTCCCAAGTGGCATTTTAAATTAGACACAAGCACCCCTTCGAAGCTTATAAGCTTATAGCTTATTTGATTAGCTTATAAGTTTCCTGTATTCAAATAAGTTTTGTTTGGTTGGACGAATTTTTTTAAAAAGCTCAAGTTTATCTCATAAGCTTCTTTGGGTAGCTTTTCAAATAAGCTCGTTGGAATTTTTATTTCAGCTAGCTTATCAGCTAATTTTACTAATTATTTTTATCATATAAGCTAGCTTAGCGTTTTTCAGCTAAAAATCATAAGCTATAACTATGTTTTACCAGGCGCAAACTTGAACTTCATTCCAAAATTTCTCCCGAACTTATAAGTTATAAGCTATGTTTTACCAAACATAGCCTAAGACATATAAACTTCATTCCAAAATTTCTCCCGACTGCAGATTGTTCCAGTTCATACAAGGCGCAAACTTGAACTTCTCGAGAATTCCAATGACAAAGCCCGTTTTGACAAGCATCGTCCCCGGAGCCGGGCCCCTCCACTCGTCTGCCTACTTTGTCGGGCTCTACTTGCCCGTCAAGTTCCAGGTGGGCCCACCTGTCCCGCTTCCTGAATTGGGCCTCATGCCCAACAGGTGGAAAAGCCATTGCATTGCAGTTCGAAAGTTTTCAGGATTTGCAAGGGATAACAATATCGCGAAGGAGGCTGAGAAGTTGGCCGTGAGCTTGAGCAGGTCTGAGTGGAGAAACTCGACTTCTACACAAAGTGGGTACGCGTACTCCATTGCGCAGTATAATTCCCCTTTCAAGTTTATCGGGCGTATTAACGAGGTATGGGTGGATGTTAATGGGTCGGAGAAAGATGGCTGTAAGTCAAATCTCTTGGCTGCATATTGAGGAGCTTCCTAGTAAATACTCTCCGTCTCTTTCGAACTGTTTTTTCTTTGTAGAGTTGTATTTTTTTCTTTGTAGAGTTGTATGGGTGGTGGAAAAACAAGTTACATTGTATTTCCATAATAATTAATTAAAATATGACAGATATGGTGTTCGATTCTCAAAAATTTCATTTT